TGTTTTAATTATTTTATTCCATTCCTACAATCCATTCCCTTTATGGTATTGAGACCATTTTTAATATATTACAAATTGTTAGTTTTAAGCAAACCTTATTATTTGTAAAATTTAGTACCCATTGCCCACACCTTACCCTAATCTTGAAGGACTCCTAGATCATTTAACGGGAAGAGTAATGTAAGGTACACATTAATTTGAGGTGACGCTAATTTATAAAATTAAACAAGAAAACACGGTAATTAATGCGAGAAGGTCAGTTGGTCATACCATATACATTTGTGTTTGTCACGACAGGTATGCCGTTGACACACTGCAATAGGTTTTTTGCTCTGCAACCGTCTAGTGGACCGGATATTCCGTAATCACTATACGTCGCAATCTTCAATGTGTTTTTTCCATTAAACCTCTACAGTCGTATCGGTACGACGACGCTGTTGTTTCTACCGGTCCCTTTAACGTATCGTATTGAAGGTTTTTCTTTTTTTTTTTTTTCATTCGTGTTCGTCTGTTCGACCGTGTTAGACGCATTGAAGTCATTTATTTTTCTTTGACCGAAATTTGCGTTGCTGTCACATTTATCGAGATAGCGATTCATCGTGGAATAAACTTTTATGGTGTTATTGCCTTCCGTGTATCATTATAGTCTCCTATGGGTTTGACCGACAGGAAATAGCCGGCTCTTATTATTGGTTTTTTTTATTTGACGTCAGTGTGATACGCGAGAAGAGTGTTTGTTCACCCGTTAGTTAATGCATATCTGTCCGGTACACTAGCGGATGTGATTAGTATGAGTCCATCGTGTTATATATGTCACTGCAACATCTATCAATTGCCCAGTGGCACGGTAGTGGGTAAATATTAAGAATTTTTTATTGTTTGTTTAAACGATTCACAGTTCACATAATATATGTATTAATTAGAATAAAAAGGGGATATTTTGTTATTTATTCATTAGTAATTTGTTCTAATTTCATTTATCATTTACTCTTGTAAATTTGTTTATTTTATTTTTTGTAACTGAAAATATCATATTGTTATTATCATATATATGCGTTGTTTTCTTTTCTTTCTATCGATTATATTGTAAGTTTCAATTTCCAAATTTTATATAATTTTCTTCCTTCCACTAAGGCGTGGTCATATTAGTTATAAGTCAAACTAAAGGGTTACAAAATCGCAAATTGACAATACTAAAGTAAAATATAGCTGACATTGAACAAATATAACTGTTATATCCATCACAAATACGTAATTAGCAATGTTCCAATTTATAAAAAAACTTGGCTAAAAAATCAATTTTCTTTCCTTCAAAATTTAAATTTTAGCTTCCATACGAAACTGAGAAGGCACCCACGCACCGTCGCCATCAACGCTGCTAACTTTTCGAAACCCGAGGATCATGCCGAACACCGCGTCGCCGACGCCAGCGATAGTGTCGTGATATTATGTGAAGATTATTATTAACTGTGTTTGTCTTTTCGGTATGTTTGTTTTTTAAATAACCTCTTGTTGATAATAATAAACGGCTCACGAGTCTTTACCTTTAAAACCAGTGTCGACTACATTATTATGACGTAAGTCGTGTCAACTAGCTCCTCGGTAAGAATCTTAACTGGTCTTAGATTGAATCATGGTAAGAAAACCATTTGCTGACTTGATTTTAACGCGTTTATTTTTTATTAACACGCTTTTATTAGCTTCACCTTTATGTTTGTTATTTTATTTTATTTTTCAAATAAGACAGCTAGGTTTCCCTCACATTCCCTTTTCTCCGAGTTCTTTCAATCACACAGTTCTCAGAAGTGAATTTTGTTTTGAAAAGTAATATTTTGAGTAATTTTTCAATATTTTTTATAACAAATATTTCAATATTAGGAAATTTGTTTTATTTCTCAATCGCGCATAACTTCTTCATTTTTTTATCAATATTACAATATAATACATAATTTTCTTTGTTATGTGTTAGAGTATAATGTCTATTGAATATATTATTGATAAATTTATTTTAGCTTCGATGCGAAGCGGAGAAGGTATTAATTTTACTATGATGTGTTTTTTTTTTTTTTTTATGTCTGTTGCCACTTTTTCTCAGCTCTCACTGGACCGATTTCTTTCAAAAATACGTCAAAAGATCACAAATCGTATCTAGTTGAAGACATTACCCTTAAAAATTGAAAAAAATTCCCTCGTTCCCCGCAAATGGGGGAAATATCCAAAAAAATTACAAATTTAAAAATCGCTAATTTTCGAAATTTTTTCACTTTTTTTTCTTAAAACTTCCATAACTTTTTGAAAAATCAACAAATCAACATAATTTTTTTTTATACTAAAACCTTAGATATTTACCTTTCATTTGATATCATTTTTTTGAAAATCTATCACTTAACCTGCTCATTGGGGGGGATTTAAAATGGCAACTTTTTTACAAAAATTAATTTTTTCAACTTAATTTTTGAAAATGTTCCGGAAAGACTGCGTCCTTTAAACATATATCAAATTAAAGCTTATTTTATGTACTACAAAATGAAAAAAAAAAATTTGTCCCGACACTTTTTTTTCTACATTTAAACGGCTGCCGTAGTTAAAAAAACACTATTTTTGTGTTAAAATTTTCGATTTTCGATTTTAAATTTTCAACTTAAAAATGCTATAACTTTTTGAAAAATGTATATATCAGCACAAATTTTTTTTTTCTAAATACATTATAAGTACATCTTTCATTTGACATACTTTTTATTAAAATTGGACAATTTCCCCTTATATAGGGGGCGTTCAAAACTTAAAATATTGTAAAAAACATAGATCTTTTTCAACTGAACTTTTGAAAATGTTCCGGAAATACTGCGTCCTTTAAACATATATCAAATCAAAGGTTATGTTATATACTATCAAATGAAAAAAAAAAATTTGTCCCGACATCTTATCTTCTATGTGCAAATGGCTGTCGAAAATTTAAAAAAAAATGTAATGTTTGCGATAAAAATTACATTTTATCGGGATGTTTTTTGTACTTAAAACTGCCATAACTTTTTCAAAAATGAACAAATAAAAATAATATTTTTTTGTATTGAAACCTTAGATATTTCCCTTTCATTTGATATAATTTTTTTTGAAAATCTAACACTTATTCTGCTCACTGGGAGGATTTAAAATAGTAACTTTTTTACAAAAAATAACTTTTTCAACTTAATTTTTGAAAATGTTCCGGAAATACTGCGTCCTTTAAACATATATAAAATTAAAGCTTATTTTATGTACTACAAAATGAAAAAAAAAAATTTGTCCCGACGATCTATCTTCTATACGCAAATGGCTACCATATTGAAAAATATACTATTTTTGTATGATAATTATGGGTTTTGTATTTTATTTTAATAGAAGTTGATGTTGCTTTTGCAATTATCCATCAATTTTTTAAAATTAAACACTATCTACAGATTTGCATCGAAGCGTTTCTTATGATAGTGATTTTAATCACTGTCAGATTAAATCTATACTGGACCCTACTATGCAATGTCTCCACTATGCCGCGACCCCACTGTGCTACCGTTTATTTTAATTAAAAGTTCATACGTGACCAAATAATCAAACATAAATATTTTTATATTATTTAAAAGGATTTGTTTAATATTTAGTCCATATTTAACATATGAGAAACGTTTTAAATTTTTAATTGATCTTAATAATTATGTTGATGATTATTGACAAAATTAGATTTTATATTAATAGAATTCCAATATTTTTATCTCAAGACAAATTTATAAATAAATATCTAGTATAGTAGGGTCGCGGCACAGTGAGAATGTGGCATAATTTGGTCAAGTATAATAATATCTGACAGTGATTAAAATCACTATCATAAAAAACGCTTCGATGCAAATCTATAGTTAGTGTTTAATTCTAAAAAATGTATGGATTTTTCCAAAAGCTACATGATCTCCTATTTCCTTATTCATATCCTGATTATAAGTTTTATGATTTATAAATGTAATAAACGAATAAATAAATATCTATATATATTTATAATTTATAAATGGAATTGGTGATATTTAAAAAAAAAGTATGTCGAATAAAAGAGGAATATAAATATTATTTCTCATAAATAAATTGTATTGATTTATACATTTTTCAAAAAGTTATAGCATTTTAAAGTTAAAATTGTAAAATATAAAATAGAGAATTTTAACAGAAATAGAGCATACGGTAGCCATTTTCACCATGAAGACAAAATAAAGTCCCAAATTATTTTTTTTCAAAATAAAGTACATTATATAAGCTTTAATTTAAGATATATATAAAAGTGTTAGTATTTCCAGAACACTTTAAAAACTTAAATTAAAGCTTATATAAGGTAAAGGGTTAAATATATAAAAAATATATTTAAAATGATATGTTAAGTCATTATACATTTATAGAAAAAAAGTTATATTGCTATAATTATTATTTAAAAAGTTATGGCAGTTTTATCTAAAAGAAATTGAAAAACATTTTGAAAATTAGCAATTTTTAAATTTGTAATTTTTTTGGAGATTTCTCCCATTTACGGGGAATGAGGGAATTTTTTTCAATTTTTGAGGGTAATTTCTTTGACTAGATAGGATTTGTGATCTTTTGACATATCATTGAAAGAAATTTGTTCGGTGAGAACTGAGAAAAAGTGGTAACGACACAAAAAAAAAAATTAATTAATTAATTAATAAAAAAAAACACATTATAGTAAAATTAATACCTTCTCAGCTTCGCATCGAAGCTAAAAACAAAATTATATTATAATATAACATATAATAATAAATACATAAGACTAATTTACATAATTCTCACAGATTCTTAAAAGTAGTTTTTTAAGTTTGAAAATTGTTTATCGAACATAGAAATAGTTTCTCAGATGATTAGTAAAATTACCTTTCCTTAAAAAATAATTCATCTAACTCAAAAATAAATATTAAAATCACGAAACACTAATATTTCTTAATGAAAATAATTTTAAAAATATCAAATTAAATATCACTAATATCATTTTGAATACATAACATAGATCCAATAAATATCCAAAAATGTTCGTTATTGTTTATGACGACGCTTAATACACTAACCAAAAATATTATGATCAGTATTATCATTAGAGATAATTGATAAAAAAATGAAATATTGTTTAAGTTGTAAAAACAATCAGTTGCATTACCGTTGTTTCCCATTAAAATTGACGCCATCTCGATTCTTTTCAAATTATTTTCATTCAAAGAGTTTAAAACGCACAGAACTCCCCATAAGCCCGGATACCACTTGCCTTTGTCCTTTAGCAATGGAACGACTTCTTTTTCCATCCATTTATGCATATTATTTTTATAATCTATCATTTCTTTTTGTTCATTAGCTTGGGTCTGAATGCATCGTAGAGTCAAATAGTAATAATTATATAACTGATCATAGAATTCTCCACTCTGAAGGTTAAACAATATCCTCTTAGCATATGGGATAATTATAGTGTGTGGGTCAGATCTGTCATCGAAAAAAGGTATCATTGGACTACCGTCTGGATTAAATTTCAGCATAGCACATGGGTCATCCGTTGGACAAGGGATCATATGTGTGACGCTCATTTTACTATTCACCCTTGCATTCACCGGTCTCATCCATTCCCGGCCATCTGTGCCTAAAATATATCTAAAAATCTATTTTTAGTTAAAAGTCTCACTTGGAATTTTATTTAAAAATATTCTTTAGAAATCTCGGTAAAAGTTTATAAAAAAAATTAATTATATATTATTTGTTTTACCCAAATGAATTTTATTTATTTTAAAAATCCCTTTAATTAAATGTTAACATAAAAATAAAAGAATTTTTTAATTTAAAATATAAACTAAATGGATAACATTAAAGATAAATACTTGAATTTCTCGAGCATAGCATGTAATTTTTTCGCCGTACCATATGTCATCAGTCCTTCGTAATAAAGTTTTCTAGCGTTTGCCAAGTATATCGAATGAAGATAACCTCCAAATGCGTCGATAACCATCAACATAACTGGATTTTTTTGCGTTGTCAGACTATTTTCTGCGATTTTCTTTATTAATTCAAAATATTCTAAGATAACAGTACCGTGTTCCGGAATATTTTTAGGAATTAATGACTTCACAATGTTTCTATATTGCAACTCTAAAATTTCAGTTTTGGTCCAGTTTCGTGAAATATCATCTAAATTGAAACGAGTTGTTCCAAAACTTTGCGGTTGACAATCTGAATGTGTGATCAAAAACCATATAAAGATGAATGAAAATTGATTTTCTCGTATCATATTGTTTGCGATAACAAAATTAAAGTGAGAAAACTTTATTACGATCTGTTTAAAAAAATTAATGTTATATCACCATGATGATATAAATTGATTATAATGAATATTTTCAAGAAAATTTTTACGAATTTATACTAAACTAAAATTTACAAACAAAAATAATATCCAACTAAATTTAACTTTAGGAAATTATTTAAAGTAAAAAAAGTTTGATTGATTCAAACTGCTTATATAACTATAAGCGGAGCTCATTTTACTATTCTCTCTTGCATTCACGGTCTCGTCCATCCCCAGACATCTGTACCTAAAATATATCTAATAGACCTAATTATTATTATTATTATTATTAATTATAATTATAATTAAACATAAATATATTTTTTTATATTATTTAGAAAGATTTGCTTAATATTTAGTCCATATGGGAAACGTTTTAAATTTTTAATTGACCTTAATAATTATGTTAACGATAATTGACAAAGATTGACATATGGTACGACAAAAATATTACACGCCATGCTTGAGAAATTCAAGTATTTTTCTTTAGTGTCATCCATTTAGTTAATCTTTTAAATTAAGAGACCAACCGATTCTTACCACAAGTGGTCAAGCCTCCTTCGAAATCAGAGTCTCGGATATCATAATAAACTTTAATGTCTCAACTCTGGACTATCTATACTGCAATGTTCCATTAGAATATGATTTCCTTGCGAAAAACCAAGTCGCGTGGACTACTTCGCAGACACCATTTACTTGGACAACAATAAGCGAACAACGGTTTGCTAGAAATGCCCCAATATCCCACATAGTTCCAAGGAATTAGATTTTTCTGAAATTCAAATTTCAGGTGATCCTATCACACGAACAGAATCAGCAGAATTTATTTCTAAATACTCCAAGGCTTTCGATGGTTCAATAAGCCGCACGAAAATTATCGATTACGAAATTCTACTTAGAAATCACACACCTATTACTCTAAACTGTACCCCGATCTACCGGACAAACGAAACACCATATATCATATGTCCAAAATATCAAAGTCGAGGGATATGGAGGAGCAAGACCCCCAGTAGAACCTAGTAAGTCACCTTGAGCTACACCTTTAGTCCTCGCAAAGATAATAATCTGACGACCCTATATTGTATCAATTCCATGTTAAAATGTAATTTATTCGTTATTATAGTAGGAAAGAATATTATATAAACTGCAAAATGTGACCGTTATTTATGAACTTAATGCTTAGAGCCATACCAAAAAATCGTTCTAATACCCGAAATAATTATCGTCGTTATCGGTCAACTCGAAATCGTGTCCCAAGAGGATAAAAATAGATACTGTAAGGGTAGAATTTTAGTTTTTATTGTCTATCACAAAAATATTAGCTTTTCCGAAAATTTTTTTGTAAATATAATATTTTCTATTAAAAATATATCTACGAAAATTTTCTAATAAGTTTTGTGTTTCCTAAAAAAATGAACACGCAAAGGTTCTATTTTTACGATTAAAACTATTGATTTGTTTTATTTTATAAACCACCCGCCACAGAAAAATAATGTTCACAAAAAAGTTGTTTTAAATTAAATTTTCTATATATTTTTATCTAACGTTTTTTTCGACCATTTACTATTCACAAGGTACATAAATAATAATAATTTATTGTTGTAAATTATGACTAATTTGTAAAATTAAAGTAAAATAAAATAAAAAATTCAGACTTACAAATTAATGAATACTTACATACACATCAGGGTGACCGCAGTAGTGACATTAGGGTCACTAATGATAAATATACCAAAAATGAAAAGGAATTTCATTAATAAACTGGATGACTATTATGATATTGATTATTCTGATGCTTTAAACTTAATTAAAATGGAAGTTGATAAACAAAATGTTAATTTGTTCTAAACCCTTTCCAAAAAATTGTTCTAGGTACCAATTGATAAATTATAATAATTAAAGTATATTAAATACAGAGTGGTGATTCTTTTAATAATCACTCGCTTTCTCTTAAAATAATAATTATATTATAGAAATCCTGTTTGGTATTTTTTGGTTACCGTATAATTTTCGATTTATCAATAATAATAGTTATTCTAATTCATTCATATACCTTGATAGAGTTTGAATTTAATTTTTTTAAGGCAATATATATAACTAGCTATGTACATTTTATTGTACTAGCTTTTAAAATAAAGAATTATCTAATTTAAAATATTATTGGGTATATATCCAACCCAGCGAGTATCTAGATACAAACTTTCTGTCTTTATTCCCTATCAAAAACAAGGTAGAATTTCTCTATGTTGAAGACTGCATATTAAATGAAATTGAATTTGTTACAAAATTGGTAAATTTTATAAAATAAAACATTATCTTCAATTCTAATTTTTTTTAGGAATCATTTATTAAAAGTATTGGTGGATGTAGGTTAAAGAACAATACACGTACATATATTAGGGTGGATCAAAAAAAGTTGATCTTCAAAATTTTAATGAGAATAAATTTAACTTTATTATATATATTAAAATAGACATTTTGTGAAAATTTGAAATTTTTAAAAAAATTTTAATTGGTGGCTCAACATGTTTTTAGTATTTTGACCAAAAATTTCCCAATAAACAATAAACGAACTCTGTTATTCAATTTTTGGTCAATCATTATGAATAGTATATCAAAATAGTTTGATTATTAATGTAAAATACAAATTTTTCAGTTTCAAAATTTTAAGTGGAAAATTGATAGTGTGGATAGCATAATTACTGTCATTATATGGTATATTTCTAGTAAGTCTCAAGTAAGCTTAAAATTTTTTTAGATTTTTTTTTTTATGCAGTTTGGCTGATATTTATGTATATTATAAGTAAAAAAAAAAAATTCTTTTCTAATCTTAAAAACTTATACTTTTTTTTATAATTAATGCATAAGCTAAAATATACGATATTCTTAAAAATATGAATAAATGATGATTGTATTTACATATTTTTCAAATATGTTTTTTTTATTAAACATAATACAATAAAAAAGTAAGTTACATTTTTTCGGTAATATTAAAACTGTCTTCTTGAGATGATTATAAAGAGTTGATAAAATTTTGTTTGTTATTCATTGTAAAATCGTACAAAAAAAAATTATCCATCCACCAGGAGCATATATATATGTATATATAGTATTTTTGGATTAATGTGGATTTGGATTTTTTGAAAGTGTAGTTGCTAATGATTGCTTCATACCAACACTCACTTGAGTAGATTGAAATTAATAATTATTATCAAGTATTTATTATAATAAGTATAATTATAATGGAAATAATAATATCTTAATTTGCGAAGTCTAGTTTAAGTTTGGTAGTTCTTAATTTTTAAATAATTGATGCATTTTTAAATTTACATAGGATATTAAATAGTAAGATATTCAAAAATATTACTCTTTCTATTATCATTTTATACTAATCTTAATAACTTATTTATTATTATAAATGAGATCTTATAATAAGCTTGATATCTTAACGATATCCATCTTTGTTGTGATACGATCACATTTGCATGTGCTCATATCTCTGTCTCCCATAACATCATTGTACCGTTTAATAGACATATATATATATAATAACACAGTGACATACAACAATACTAACAGGAGGGCGAACTGCATACATAAACACTTTTGCAATTCATAGTTCGCGCCTCACGCCATCATCGACATCTCGACGTTTTTTTTTATATAAATACAAAATGAAAATTTAACTTTGTTTTTCGTATGTGTGTCTATGACAGTCAAAACGAGAAGATAATGATAATTTTTGTTAGTGCCCGGCGCACAGTGGTCTGAAATCGAATTTTAGGCGCTCATAAGTTCCATTTTAAAATGTACTCATAATGTTAAAATAATTATGAAAACTCAATTCTAGTATATTGCTTAGACAAAATATAAAATTTCAAGGTCACATGTTAATCCGGTCGTTATTTATAGCCGTTTGAAGTATAGATATGGTTATATTACGGTTATTTCAACATAAAAAACGTCTTTCGTTGTAAAGTTTTTTAACAAGTTAAAAAAATTTTTTTTCGAAATTTTTTTTTTTATTATTTTATTAAAAGTAAAGATTAAAGATATTAAGAAAAAAAATTTCGAAAAAAATTTTTTTTTGACTAAGTAATGATCGTTTTAATAAAATAGAGCATTTTTTGAGGCGTTTTCGAAACTAAAAAGCACTCTAATTAGATTTAATTAGCAATTTAATTAGATTCACTCGTTTTGTCTGAATTATCTGTTAGTAACCAGTTGAAATCGGCAAATCCAAAAAATTAACTTCATTCTGTAACTATTCTTCTTTTATTTAAAAAAAAATATTAATAATAATGATAATAATAAAAAATTCACACACCGTAGTAAAATTAATACCTTCTCACCTTTACATCCAAGCTACAAAACATAATACATGTATTTTATTTAAGGTTCGGTGAAAATGTGTGATAACAATGATATTAAGAAATGCAGGCTTATCAGTATGATCAGAAGAACGTACAATCCAATTTCAGATAAAGAATTACCCAGATGCAGAAATGGAGAGTGTCATATATTTTTGCCAATTCTGACGGAAGACTATGTCGGGATTGATCCTTTTAAGAAATTACCAGATATATACAGAGATAGGTTCGACGCTTCTAATAATCGTTTTGTTACTCAAATAAAAATATCAAACACACCTGAAATGTGGGCTGATTGGAAAGTTTTGTATACATAGTTCTATGTAACACTGTTATTTTTATTTTTTGGCTAAAATTGATTCGTGTCAAATTGAAAACATGTAATTTTTCTTTGTTTATGTTTAATAATACCTTATTAATAGTTTTACTAAAATATAATTATCATTTCAATAAATGTATTTGTGAAGTTTTCAAAAATCGTATGTTTTTTGTGGCTTTAATATAAAGAATAACTTTAAAAAAGGCAACAGAGCGGGGTTGTGGCTCTGTGTGAACTCGGCATAGCAATATAAAGTTAAAAATATGAAATCGAGAACGTTTCACAAAAGTCGTACTTTTTTCATTAACTACGTTGTCCATTTTTATCGCAAAGATAAGTCGTGGGAACAACATTTTTCTTTTAGCTTCGATGCGAAGCGGAGAAGGTATTAATTTTACTATGATGTGTTTTTTTTTTTTTTTTTTTTATTACAGTATATTACATAGCTATAATTTAAGATAAAAAAAATAAATAAAATAATTACAATATTTAAAAAAAAATTGCCAAAAAGTTAATAAAGGTAATAAAAATTTATAAAAATTATTCGATTTTCAAAATTGGAATTTTTTCCGGGATTCCCCCCATTTGCGGAGGACTAGATAATTTTTTCAATTTTCAAGGGCAATGTCTTCGACTAGTGATACGATTTCTGATCTCTTGACGTATCGTCGAAAGAAATCGTTTCGGTAAGAGCTGAGAAAAAGTTCGAAATAAACATAATTAAAATAAACACATTGTAGTAAAATCAATACCTCAACAGCTTCGCATCGAAGCTAAAAAATGTTAGCAATGTGGAATCGCCGCGGCACTGTGGGGACGTGCTATAGTTAAGATAAGTATAGATGCCCACAAGGCAAAAATTTGTCACAGAAACAGCAATGGGATATTTCGATGAAACACGGAACTTAGCGGATTACGTTGCATAATTGTATGAAAAACATCACGGGGACTGTATTTTTCCGCAATTATATCTTTCATGAAACTGCTTTTTAACATCTGCTAGTAACATCTACGCAACAGCTCTGTAAACCATTACAGGCATTTTAATTAAAACATATATCGCTGTTTTAAAGATGTATCATTTGTAACATCCTTCTGGTATTTAAAATTATTGTACATACATATGGATTTTTTTACCATAGATTTAAAAAAATATAGCATTTTATTTATGCTTTTACTCACACAACTCATAATTAATTAAATAAACAATGCACGTAAAATATTTAATAATGAAATAATATAAATAAATTTAACACCAATTATAGTAAGTTATATTATTTATTTATAGTGGGACGGTGTGGTCGAGTNATATTATAACTATAACAATATAACAATAAATATAAAATTTGGCAATTTATATAAAAAATAAATGTACCTTGCTAAAACTGCACAATTAATTAATAGCTTAAACATAAAATTCTCAATAAAACATTACAAGAAACAAACAAGTTGTATTATTAATAACGTAGTGTCATAGTATCAACGTAATGGGACATGTCTATCGATTGTTAAAGCCCAAACTATCTTATAAAAGTCATAAATGTTGTCAAACAACTAAAATGATTTGAACATTGAACATAACATGAATAGATGTAAATTTAGTAAAATATAGTCGAAGATGAAATAAATAACTTAAACAATTCATTATCAGAAATTGAAATAAATGAAAGCTAATTGTAAATAAAAAATGTACGAATTGGTTTAATCTTATTAGCCTTATGCACAGTTATTTTTGTCCGCCGCAATAAAAAATCATATTTTTGAAATCTAGACTAGTTGCTCTACAATATCTATGCATTGATACTTGGGTAAAATAGGGTAATTTTTGTACGGCGTCCTGGACCGGTTCACGACGCCCGTCGGCCACTCCATATGGCGCGACCTGCCGGACGTAAAGTGGAAGCGCCGCGATCGCCATCCAGTGGTAAAGCTGGAGTCGCGATGCGACAGAGTGGTGAAGGTGCCAACTTTAAATTGGTTCATGGGGAGTTACATAAATGTAGGGATGCACTGTATGCGGTCAAACTGTCACAACAAACCGGGTACTGACCATTGGATCGGTTAACTGGTATATAAGTTAATTTTATAATTGGGGACATACTTAATACCTAATGCACATACCATTAACTGATAAAAATTGACTAAAAAAAACTAGTTTATTCTATAAATAATTTTTTTTTTTTTATTGCTTTTATTAGTCCATTAAGGGCCATAGCGACCTCTCCTAGAAGGAGGTTTTCTTAACCATTTATTCTCCAATTTTTATTTCACGTCAAGCACTGCTGCGTTACCGACTCGACCACACCGTCCCACTATAAATAAATATTATAACTTACTATAATTGGTGTTAAATTTATTTATATTATTTCATTATTAAATATTTTACGTGCATTGTTTATTTAATTAATTATGAGTTTGTGTGAGTAAAAGCATAAATAAAATGCTATATTTNTTGTGTGAGTAAAAGCATAAATAAAATGCTATATTTTTTTAAATCTATTGTTACGAGAGTAACAAATAGAATAAAATAAAATAGTATTGCCGAATAATTAATTAGTTTATTAAAAATAAAAGTG